AGCAACACAATTTGAACCATACAAGTACAATTAACAAAACGACAGACAGATGCTCACTACAGGGGCAAAGCATGTCCACGTGTGTGAGTCCACTAAGCGCTCCCCTACACATTTCCTTCATCTTATCTGTTCTGACTTTGCTGAGATTTTTCATTAAAAATGCACTACAATATTTGTGTTGCTTGTGCCGCAAAACTTTTACTAAAACTAATAAAAGTGTAAACTAAAAGAGAACGTTTTTCTAAAGTATATGTGAGACAGCGTGGTGGAATCAGGCTCTCGTCAAAATAATCAAAGTGAAAAAACTTGCATTTTTTCTGCAGGTTTGCGAATTTTTATCAATTTTTTGTTTTTTGGTGCAACACCTTTCAGGCCCATTACAGAACTCATTTATGTGGGGATTTTTCTGAAAGACATTGATTAAAGGTACAAGAAATGTAAATTTTTAGTTACCACGGACTCTTTAGCTAAGGAAATAACAAATCTTTGGCGGCCATTTTCTCACTAATTTTACCTCTGAAAATAGGTGAACCCCACCTCCTTCTTTTGCAAATATCTCGACTTGTATTTAAGATAAATGGATAATTTTTTTCATCCATATAAAGACAAGTAAACAAGCTTTAAGATGACACCAATAACTCTACGTGCCCAAAAATTGACGAGAGCCTGATTCCACCACGCTGCCTCACATATTAAATACGAAACGAAGTGACTATTTCTCTGATATTATTTCCACGAAATCTTCAGCTGTATACTACATTGATAATAATTATTCTTGATGACTCAAACGACCAAGAATGTGATTTTAAGCCAGGCAAGAACGTTTTTAATGCAACAAGCCCTACTACTTTGCTCCTTCAAAAAATATCTTCCACGTTTTAGAAATTGGAAATTTGATTGCGTTTGTCTGCTACAATGTAGGCCCCTATGTTCTTGTGATAATTTATTTTTTTCCTTTTTCGTCAAGAAATAATACACGCTCACAAGTGCCCAACCATGTGGTAAAGTTCTTCTTGAGTCCCTCTCCCCCCCCCCCCCACCCCCCTCCCTGGCGTTAAAAAATATAATTACAAAGTGTAAAACGGTCACCAGTCAAACGCAGCAGCCACCTTATTTTATCTGTCAACAAAGAAAAAAATCGTTCTAATCTAATCTCTAATCGTCTGACACTATGTCATAAATTTGTACTCGCCCCTGGCGCTGTGGACCAGCCGTCATAATCCATTCACCTGTCGTTATTGTTAGTCCCTTCCTCCCCCCCCCCCTCCCCCAAATCACCTGCCGTTATTGTTACTCCCTCCCATATCCGATCATGTTGGGTAGGTCCCACCCACTGTTGTTTACCCAAGTTGACCAATATCAATGTAACAATTTACTACATTACGTTCAGCTGTTGGTGTGGGAAGCGTGTGACCTGTCATAACTTGTAAGCCCCGCCCACAACTCATTGACCAAATAGTGAGGTGACCGGTCACTGTTTACCCAGTCTTTAACAATGGACGTGAACTTGTGACAGAAGCGTCGCTCTTTCTCCGAATGATGGCGGCCCATGCTATTTGTTTATTTTACAGTGTCTTCTGGTCTGACACATTTCGTGTTTTACCCCTGCACACTCTCTTCCTATTTGATACACCCAGTAGAATTTAACACTTATTGCAGCAGTCGCGAGACTTCGCCTCTCTGTGTAGACAAAAATCTTTCACACATTCAGACAAATCCAGCCGGTAATGACGGCATTAATGTAGAGTACTCCGTGGCCTTAATCTGCAGACATCTCCAGTTGGGAACTCAGAAGAGATTGTTAAAAAAAACAACCACCCCTTTCCCCTAAAAACTAACAACCCAAAAACCACCCCCCAAAATTTAAAAAAAAAACAAACAAAAAAACCCCCAACATAAAGCAAAGAGACCTCCCCTCCCAGAGAAACAACAACATAAACTTTCCTCCCCCCTCCCCCCCCCAAAAAAAAACCC